GCGTTGTTAATCACCATAGGACATGAAGCGTGTCGCGAAGCCATATAATAATCATAAGAACTCAATTATATGTAAATTTGAATAATATCAACGTGTTCAACTGTCAGTATACATTGACATCAATTGATGTCAATGTATACTGACAGTTGAACATGTCGATATTATTCAAATTTGATCAAATTTTAATCAATTGATGTCAATGTATACTGACAGTTGAACATGTCGATATTATTCAAATTTACATATAATTGTGAGTTCTTATGATTATTATATGGCTTCGCGACACGCTTCATGTCCTATGGTGATTAACAACGCTGCATCCTTGCCAATTTGCGAGTGACTTAATCATCGAGGACATGTAAGTCAATTATATTGTATCTTTATTGCTGAGGATGACTCCAAAGAGAGTCGAAACGTCCAAATACAGAAGACTTTAAGCTAACATCTGAGTATGGTTTTCACCTATCTTTGCGCCGTTCAACGTTGCTTGACTCTCACTAGCCTAATTTAGTCATACTTTTAATTTGTTATAAAATGCATTTATAAAGTTTTTCTTATGTGGAAATTATTCGTACGCGCTCAAAATGAGTAGCTGGAAAAATATCGCATACGAAAATTTTACATACAGTTATATATGCAATACGGTACATTCAAGAAGGGGAAGTAACGTGTTTTTTGTAACACTGTTATCATTATCGTTATTTTATTATAATAAACATTTTATTATGACATTACAATTTCCATGATTGGAATAATAACGTTAGGCTTGAGAAGTATATTTGTCATTACATTCGTACATCAAGTAGAGTAGTAGATCGTAGCCTAGGAGATACAATTGACACAAATATCGTTCCATCCTTCTTGACGTTCAATGCATAACAAAGACAAAACAATATTTGTGTCTCCTACAAAGGAAGCAGCCTATTATTCGTTATATATATTGTAAAATATTACTCGATACTATGAGTTTATTTTTACTCGTTACGTTGGCTGTTACATTGGCTATGATCAAAGTCTCACTACAAATGCTTTGAAGCGTTCGATGGACTAATTAAAAGAAAAAATTTTACAAACTGACCAATTATTAAAAAACGCTTCAAAGCATTTGCAGCATCGTGTTGACTGTACCATTGTATGACAAGTAACGCACAATAGTAATGACAAATATATTTGTCAAGCCTAACGTTATTATTACAATCATGGAAATTGTAATGTCGTAATAAAATGTTTATTATAATAAAATAACG